TATATATCTAAAGTCATTTATATGTAAAAAATTCTTTAGCTCAAAAATTAAGGAAAAACCCACCCAACCAAAATATTTTGGTTGGTAGCTTTTAATACATTATATATTAAAATATTAACTTTTTCTCTGAGTGTAGCCCTAATAAGTATGAACCCTCACACACACGCACATACACTGATTACACAGCTAGAAAAGCGAAACAAAGTTGGCGACGCGCTTTGAAAACTTTACGCAATGATGCGCATACGCCATGTGTGCCGCCATATACCTAAAACCTATGCCACCATACCCCTCCCCCGCCACCTCCCACACCTCACCGCACAGAGACCGAGGCCACCCCAAGTATTTGATAAACCATTCTGCCCTCTTTGCAGTAGCTGTAGCCGTTGCCTTTTTTCTCTGCTGGGCGCCCTTTCACGCCCAGCGCCTGATGGCTGTCTATGGCGTTTCGCTGATTAATGTCTGCCGCTGTCGCGATGCCTTCAACGACTATTATCACATACTTCACTACACATCCGGCGTGCTCTACTTCCTGTCCACGTGCATCAATCCGCTGCTGTACAACATCATGAGCCACAAGTTCCGGGAGGCATTCAAGGTGAGTGGTGCCGGCAATCTTTGAGGTTTTTGTTTTCCCTTAATGTGCCTTGCAGATTACATTAACGCGTCAATTCGGGCTGGCCCGCAATCAGCAGCAGCATCAGTACCACCAGCACAACTACAGTGCTCTGATGCGACTGCAGGGATCGATGCGGCTGCAGCCCGTCAGCTGCAGCAACAACAACAATGCCCTGGAGCCATATGGATCGTATCGCGTGGTGCAGTTCCGCTGTCGCGATGCCAACCATCAGCTGTCGCTGCAGGACAGCATTCGCACGAATACGACAACCACGACTATTAATAGCAGCAGTTTGGCCGCTGTTGGCGGTGCAGGTGCCGGCAGCAGTGGTGCTGCTGGTGGTGCTGCTGCTGCTGGCAGGCGTCAACGCAAACAGGACCTGTACGCGACGTCGGCGGGCAGCGCCGTGCCGCATCGCCTGCTGCAGACGCAGAGCTCGCGGCTAAGTGATGCCAATACACACGCATTGCTCGACCCGGAAGTGGTTGAAGTGGCTCGCAGCCATTGTGCGCCTGCACGTGCCAAACGCACGCTGCTGGCCACAAATAACGGCGCGTTGCTGCTGGCAACCGCCCAGTCCATAGAAGAGCCACCGCAGCCCGCCACGCGCCTCAAGCTAACACGTGTAATCAGCCGACGCGATGAGCCGGCCTACAGTGGCAGCAGCAGTCTGCCCGACCAGGAGACGGCGAGCACTGCTACCACGGGAGGAGGAGGGGGCGTCGGCGCCGGCGGGCCAGAGGGGAGCAAGTTTCCATGGCGCAAGAAGCGCAAGAAGCAAAACCCGGCCAACAACAATGAAACGGTCAGTGGCAGAAATGGCTATGCCACGCCCAAGTCGCTGTGATAAATGAAAGGCGCCCGCGCTGCAAGTATTTAGATAGCAAATAAATCTTTATAAATATTTAGTTCCAGATAGTATATATATGTATATATATCGATATAAATGTACAGTGTGTTAATGTTAACTAATAGTTTTATTTAACTATCATAGCAAAAAAGTTCGATCAAGGGCTTCGAGGCTAGGGATTTGCCTTGAAACTTGTTTTCTTACATCTTTCCAGACTTAAGTACAATTCAGATATAAAGTTAAACTTGTCTTGCAAAGTGTTATAAATAAATGTTATATATTGAATGTTAAAATGATTGGTGATTTTGTTCTTAATGTTATTCTTATTGGATTCTTATCAGGGCTGTGCGTAACTTACAAAATCTAGATTTAGCTGGAAGGGGGCTTGAATATATACAGAAATGTCTATATTTTTATGGCCAACGCTGTTGATGCTATGCATATATCACATGCTAATATATCTACGTATATTTTATAATCGACATACATACATTTACAAATCTCTCTTAACACTTTGTTATTATTGTTAGAGCAGTACTTCAGCTTGAACTTTAGCTTTTTTCTAGTCATTTATAGCTAACCGAATAACAAATAATTAAATATATCAAACCATATTAAAAATACGAAACATTAAAAAAATTTAATTAATTAAATGAAGAATATAAAAAACATATTTTTTTATTTATTAAAATACACGTAAAAAATAAATTTAAAAAAATATTAAACATATATTAAAAAATACATTTTCAATATTTATTGTCTTTTTACCGTTCCATAAACACAGCAAACACTTCAACTTCGGCTAAGGTCAGAAAACTTGTTTGCATGGAAATTTATGGGCCAATAAATGACGGCGACTGCATTAGCTGGGCCCAGACGATTTATGCCCAGCTAATGCGAGACTGCAAGTGACGAACTGACTACGCAACACACAAGTGCTTAAGCACCACGCATAAATTAAGTGTTTAAGCGGCAACAAGTATGTATACCACATATAAAGCTCTGCACATGCAACCAAAAGCCAAGCAAAGCCAGGCCAAAAAGAAAAGAAAAGAAGACAAATGGAAATAAATGAAAAGGCTTTTTCTTTTTATTATCCTTAAACACACTGCCAGCAGCAGCTGCTGCAAGCAACGATTCTTCGAAATCGAAAGAAAACTTCGATTTTTGTTAGCTTCTTCTCTCTTCTTCTCTCAAGAGTTTTTTACTTCAATCGTTTTTTACTTCTTATGTAGCTGGCAGTTACTTTTTGCAAAGTTCGCTTTGTATTGCTGCCCTTAGGAAATACATAAAGCAGTGGGATAAGCCTTAGTACTTGCATTTGGCAGCTGGCTAAGTGCAAGGCAGCTAAATTAAGTACATCTATACCTTCATCTACACTATACATTTGATATATTTTACTGAGAAAACAGCGCACAGGAAGTCCCAGAGCAACAGTAGCTGCGCTAAAAATAAACATTTAGAAATAAAATATTTATAAAATTTGGCCCCAAAATGAAAAATGAGTTCAAAATTTAACACATTATCAAATGATAACATCCAAAATTGACATAAAATTTCAATAGCAATTTTATGGCTGCCTCTAGAGATCCCGGGTCGCGAGACTCCATTTAACAGTTGATTAACTTAACATAAAATCAAATTCAGTTTGCATATCGCCATAAGCAGTTCCTAAACCTTCTGGCTTCTGCCATCAGCTAGGTCTGTTGGCAACATGTTTTGTCCATTAAATTTATTTTTCACTTTTGACAACCAGTCAAAATTTGAGCGTTATTGAATGGCAAGCAAAGTCTTTGAACTGTAAGACTTTTCAGCGCGCAAAAAAAGAAAAAAAATCGCTTTTCCGGTTTGTCGTTGTCGCAATCGCCGCTTGACTGTCTGTGTGATCAATCAGAATGCAGAGGAGCCGCAACGAAAATTAAAGCCAAAAACCTTTAAGGTCTCTGCTCCTATTTATACCCATTGAAAGTGAAAGAAGGTGGGTAGTCAGATTTTGTTCAAGAAATATTATAAATGGAAAAAGGGTTCTTTTGTAAATAAGTAATACTTAGTTAAGTTTAAGTCTATCGATAAACATCGAAATATCGATATTGATTTTATATTATTATATTTTACTACCTCCATATAACTTCCGATTTATCACTATTTCTTAGCATATTTTCCAGGACAGTTCAGTGTAAGGTATCTGTAAATCAGAGATACTCTATTACAGATATTTCCTAAAAGCAAGAATACTTCCAAAGATAGTTAAGCCTGGTTAAGCTCTGACTCAAGTCAGGAGCTCACAAAATTTATTTTACGTGGCGTTTTCCCATTGGAGATTACAGCTACGGTAGGCATATTATACTGTCGGACTCTTTCCACACCGATATTACAATTAATATATTCCAAGTCAGTCAGACTGAAGATGTCTTCAAGTAACAACATTTCAAGTAAAGGTATCTCTCAGTCAGATATGCCCATTACTTTAATTTCTACCATAGGCCAAACAAAAAAAAAAGCTTGCAAACTCAGTTACACTTACGGTATCTCTTAGGCGAATATACTCAACAAGGCCATAAATAATACATTTGAGGCTCATTCAGGATATCTACTAGTCGGGTACTCCCCACCAGCAGGCACTCTGCTGCTGTAGCGGCAATTTGTGCGGCCTGTTTAAGGCATTATGCACAGACAGCTATGGTCTGTATGTATGTATATATGTAATATCTGTGTGTATATGATAAAAAGTCTATTACATTGTTTTCCATTGTCGTCTGGCTGCACGCACAAGTATAAAATTATGAGAGTTTTGTATCTCTTCATAAGCTGACATGCTCAAGTACAGATTTTAATCCCATATCCTGTCAGTTAGTTTATATTTTTGAACAATTTTGCATTTTTTCTACTTTTTTTCTTTTTTTTTGTTTTTTGTGTTTTGTGGCTTTTGTCTGCACTTAACGAGCAAGAGGGTAGCCGCAGGAAAGGTTTTGAAACTAGTTGAAGGACTCCAGAGATAGAGAAGGGCTCTAGAGTTCATTTCGACCAAATTAAAGTGCTAAGCTAAACAAATTTGGAATTTGCTAAGCATCACAAATGGCTGGGCAATTAAAAATTTAAACAGAAATTCGTCGACTTGCGGGTGAGTTCATCAAAACCATATGTATATGCATGTGCAATAAAAAATAAAAGAAATAAATTTTCACATATTTGCACATATCTAAATATAGTATATATGTGAATATTTATTGTCGAGTTTTTATGCGCAATAGACAGCGCATAGTATTGATGAACCCAATCGGTGTTTATATTCAGTCAACGAGGTCAACAACTGCCTCCCTTGTGATATTTGCAAAACTATAACGCATATTCCAACCAAATTTGAGATGATAGCTGTAATATATATACCAGATCATATTTGTGGTATTTACTAACACTTCTATTCAACTGCAGTTGAGTGACATTTTATATAGCCTACTTTTCTGCGCATTGTTGCAATATTTTAATTAAATTGCAATCACAGAGTTTTCAACTAAACTCGACGCTTCAGCCACGGCATTTATTATTTATTTAGCCACAGAGTGCAATGGTAAAAACAGTTTGATTGTTTGATCAGCAAGTGCGCAGTGGAAATTGCTTTTGTTGCCGACATGAATAGAAGTTTTAATTGAATTTAACAGCCACTGATTACTATATAAGCTATCAAATATCAATTTTTATTCCATTGAATTGTTAATTATTCTCTTGGACAATATATTTATTATATTATTTTTAAAGGCATAAGCTAATTACATTTTTCTTTTTTTTTTTTTAATTGTTGGCAGCTTGAATAGCAATTATAATGGAGTTTATAAGCTAATTATTTGTCAAGTAATTATTATCTAAGCTAACAAATTTCCATTTATATTGTAGTAAAGTGTCAATTACTTTAATATACAATACATTTATTACATTTATTTTTGTTGTAAATATACGCATATATTTTTATATAAATTCTTACATGTATGTATATATGTATATATAGTTATATTATTATTTTTACTTTTTTTTCTTGTAACCAGAGCTTATCCTATTTTAAAAGCTATTTTATGATTAAATTTTTACAAGGTCTATTTTTAACTTCATTTTAGCTTATTAGCTTTCTCTTTCTATATGTATATAGTGAAAGAAA